AGGTCAATTTATGACTTATCTGTATACTCATTTTTGTCCTGCACTGTCTTGTCTTGTATCGCACTGCTGTTTGTCCTGCACTGTCTTGTCTTGTATCGCACTGCTGTTTGTCCTGCACTGTCTTGTCTTGTATTGCACTGCTGTTTGTCCATCCCTTTAACTCCCTTCCCTGCAGGTGTAGCATAAGAACAATACTGTGTTCATCAGAACACAAAACAATACAACTTGCAACTTGAGAACAGAATCCATTTTTTAAGTGTTATGGATATTAGAATAACATTTGTTTTCTTTTATGTAATATTTCAGTGGGATTCATTTAGGACAAAGTCCCTGTTCCCTGCTGTATGTAGCACACATCAGCATTAAAGCCTAATCTAATGCACAATGGGTCACAAGAAAGACAGAAGACCTCAAAAGAATGTTTTCCTTCAGACAACTGGTGAACCTAAGAGGAAGCCAGGCTGCCCAGCCCTGCATTCCACTTGCATGGAATATTCTTGCATGTGGTTTCTTGCATACGGAGCCGCAGGGCTGGGCTGCAGCGCCAAGATGCGATGAGTCTCCAGGCCTGATTATTGTTGACTAATCCATTTGTAATTGGGATTTTGCACTGACTCAGGTTGAAAGATTTTGAAAACAGGAAACCACCACTGCAAGCTAAAGTTATTTCATGCTCATTTCAGCTCAAGGACCAGTGCCCTTAATTGATTCATGAGGTATGACAACGATCTGATATCCTAAGCCAGTAGATAAAACAGAAAAATTCTAATAAGGAGATAATCAGTCCCCAAGTATAGCAAAATATTATAAAATTTAGTGTTTGTAGGATTTTAATATTGCTTATGGTCCACATACCAAAGCAATCAGGTAGTGTAATTTTAACGAGTGAAGATTATTCTGTGATGTAACTGAGTTTGATGGGCTCAAGTGTTACCTGATCATCAGTCGACTGCACGTCTCTGGACTCTGCATAAAACAGCTGGTTGTACACAGAGTTGGGTAATTCAGGTCCAGAGAGTAAATGTCCAGATCAAGATATTGTTTCAACCAACCAGTTGAGCATAAAGGGTCACAATCACAGAGTACTCAACTGGTTGGTTGAAACAAAATCCTGGTCTGGACTTTTACTCTCTGGACCTGAAATACCCAACTCTGGTTGTACAAAATTGATCAGGACAAAGACCTAAACACCTACATCCACAATTCGATTTTAAGACAGAAGTTGCTGAAACACTCACTGAGATCATCTCGTCCTTCTTGCACTGCTGGGAGAGGTCCCGAACCCCGTTGACAAACAGCTTGTTGGCGCTGACGTAGGCCTTGCCGGCCTCGATCATACCGCTGCATAGCTTCACTAGCTGTAGGGAGGCAACAAGAAGAGCAAGAAAGGAAGAGAAAAAAAGGAGAGAAACCCATTTTCATTAAAAGAATTTTGTCACAGAACTTCCAATTAAGGTTCTGTCAACTTGGCAACCTTGAATCCGCCACGCTTGTATGTAGCGTTGCATGTAAATGTCAGTTTTTTTATGCATTAGAGAATTTCATATTCATAGACTGGAAATACTGTACTTGATTTGAAATCACCCAAGTTGACCTGAATAATGTTTTTTGCAGCTTTTATGAGAAACACTTCAGGATACATGACAAAACACAAAATCTAATGTCAAAGGCAAAATATTATTTCCTAGGCTTCCATATTTTTGATGGTTCAGTGGGTAGAAATGTTGCCTCACACCTCCAGTGATGGTGGCTGAAATCCCACCATTGGCTCATGTTTGCATGGCTTTGCATGTACAGGTACTCCATCTTCCTCCAGCAGTTCAAAGATGTGCTGTTAGGCTATTTGATGTCTCTAAAGTGTGATTTTGTGTGTATATGTGGCCGGTGATGGACTAGAATCCCATCTTTGAGCCTTGGCATAGGCTCCACCCCCTCCCCCATCCTGACCAGTGGCCTGTACTACGAAGCGGGGTTACTGGTTTATTGGGGTAACTTGTCGGATTTAAGGTACCACAGTTGAAATGGACTTCATATTCGTTCAGTTACATTTTGCCCAGGCTACCTTAAATTCCACAAGTTACCCCGATAAACCAGTAACCCCACTTCATAGGACAGGCCCCAGGAAAAGCTGTCAGAAGGTGGATGGATGTAAATAATTAAAAAGAAATCTTCTAAACATGTAATGGGATGCAACATTGCCAAGACATTTCAGCTGAGAAACAGGTCACATGTATGTGATAAACTGGGCCTGCGTCCATGTGCTGATTTCATATCTGTTGGTTGAGGCACCAAACAATCAAAAAATCTGAACCGGGAAGATAGACAGGGTGAGATCAGGGAAAATTTCTAAGATCAAATTGCTAGATGTACTTGAAGGCAATAAGTCAGGGACATGGTAGAAGTATGAATAACACTGTGAAAGATTCCCCGGCAAGGAGAAACTCACAATACCTCACAACTTGGTAACAGACATGATGGCATTTAAGATACTTGGTGCTGGTAAACAGGTGGAGTTAATTGACTGGTTCTTTGGAAACCAGGGGCTGGATTACTGTTGTCGAATGTGATAATGTGACCACATGTCATGCCTTTGCTATCAGTATTGCCACAAAAATAAAACAGAGTTCTTCCTTGTAACATTCACTTCATGTTGTGGAAACAGTCCTGCATACCACTGATGGCAAGACAGTTGTACATTGGTTCCCATAATCAGTCCTATACTAGTTAAGTTATGCGTGCAGTAGAAAGAACTTTTCCCACGTTTAACAGATGTTTAAAGATCATATTGCAACACTTTGCCAATGTAGGACCTCTGGTACAGGCAGCTATCGTTCTTAGCACTTGTGCGTGTAAGAAACCGAACAGGTTCTGAGCATTCACTGATGACATCACTGCTCAACTAGATACACATGTTCAACCTAGAAAGTGCTTCAGGGATCTGGCATGGAAAATCTGGCCAACGTGAACTGGCTTTAGTACAGAGACAAGGGAAAATGCTTCATTTTACTTGGTTGTTAGATGCAAGCATTTCGGAATGTTATGAAGCATGCCTTTGGAACACTGATAAACCTTTGCAACTATCGTGAGAAGCATGGGACGTAAGAGCAAAATATGTGTATTGATGACCAAAAACACACTCCTCTGAAGTGTCCCTGCCTCTACAGCTCTTATTTGTATCATAGAATGAATTTCTCTATCTCAAAAGCATACATTCTATATCACGTTTATTAAACCAAGAGCAAACACCATACATCATACATGCAGCATTGGATATGGCTCTATAGGATGAAGTAAGATGTAAAATGGATGGAAAACCAGCATGTTGCAATGTAAATTATTCATCAGAAACCCACTGTAAATACATTTTATGAATAAAATGTGCATAATTCTGTAGATAAGGCTAGACGGTATAGCTCAGTTACACTGTGACCTGGTAGTGGCTGAAATCCGTCACAGTTTAGTGCCCCACATCAAGGTAATGATACTGGTCTTAAGAGTGCTAATTGCCCCCCCCTCTGATTTATAGTCCAAACATCACATAGTCTCAAGCCATCAACTGAATGTATACAGCTTAAAGGCACAAACCTGGAACACAAGAAACCTACTTTCCATTCATGTTGGTGTTTAAGCAACTACCTTAAAACGTAAAACCACTTTTATAATTCAGAGGGTTAGTCAAAAACTGCCTGCGCTGTGGTCGTGTCTCCTACACGTCCCTCCTACGCCCCCAGCATCGACCATGGGACACTGTGTTTTGGGCTAAATCTGGTCAGCCGTCATGGCTTTTATTTAGACCAAAAATAGTCACTGAAAATTTTGCTGTATTTAGTCCATTTGATTTGGTCCAAATTTAGTCCAAGATGGACGTCTATTTCGGATCACATATAATACAGCAATGAAACTAGCCCTAATACCGTCATGAAAATAAGCTCACATTGCAGCAAGCGAGGAACATCTCAGTGTAAACATGTGTTGTGTTGTATACACTTCCCTTGTGACCATACATCAGCATTTCGGACAGACAGTCTCCTTTTCCAGCCCCCATCAGCCATGCTATCGCTTGTCCTCTTTGCCCTTTTGTCCTCTTTTGACATCTGCTACACGCAACAGCGACCGGCGCCCATAAGAAATAACAGTGACAAAATGACAATGACAGCAATGTTAATATCATGCATCCTGTAAGCTCTGTTGCATTTAGAGTGACGGCTTTTCAACGACCTGAAAAAGACGGCCTTTCACTTGTCAACCAATTCTCAATGTTGTGACGTCCGGCCAAGCCATCTTTTCACTGTCTTTTCAGAGTCTTTTCAGTGTCTTTTCAACGACTTTTTTCTGGGTGGGTAAAACCAGATCTGACTCTTGTTCTTACACAGCTGTTCTGTTGGCCCAGTTTTCACTAACTAATTCCATAACATCCCTGGAACTACTGTTCCCCCCTCCCTCACCGCATGGGAGGTGGGTGCCGTTCTGCCCATATGCCTTCTAAAGCACAGGGAGGTGGGGGGCTTTATGGGGTTGAATATTATGACGTTTTTGAAGCAGCCGACGTATCACACTTTGTTTACAATGACTGCCATTCGTGAGCCGTCTTCACTTTAGCTACAGCTCCAGCTCTGATCAAGGGAGCTATCTACAGCTGCACCAGAAAGGTTCTAAACAAGCTTGTTTCACTCAATTATAATCCTGCTGCATAATGCTTTAAACAATCAAATGGCTGCCCATTCCACTGAGGAACAAAGGAACAAAGAGCAGTAACTGTAACAAGAATATCCCTCTCTTTCTTACATGCACACAGATAATAACCTATAAGTTTGTACCAATAGCCATGATCGGGTTTGTCAGCCGATTCAACATTCTGCTCTTCCTCACCATCAGCTACCACAAGATCAAGGCTTATTTCAAACCAGAGTAAAAGGTTCGAGATTCACAAATTGGGTTGAAAGAAGTAAAAGAGAATTAGCTTGAGGAATGATAAATGTAAATTGGTGTGGGAAAAAGATGAATGAATGGAACACCATCTAAATGGATTTCACTATACTGATGTCCCTTGACTGGCTTTCTGCCATTGGTGGTTCAGAATTCCTCAGCGATCTGGGGGGGGGGGGGGGGGGGGGGGGGGGGGGGGGGGTGGGTGGCTTTGACAGAAAGTCTCCACACAGCAGCTCATTGCTGCTTCTAATTACCCAGCCCAGACATCTGAATTATGGGGAATTTCAGTTTAGGAAAAGGACCAAATTCTTAACTGCAATGTACCCTCCCAAGCCCAACACAATTACAATGGTTCTGATATCGGTAATTAATCCTGTAAAGTAATCGCTCAATCTAATTCTGAGTAATTTAGCGTGCTGGGTGCTACCAGAGGTGTAACTCTTTGTTGCCGCGTTTCTTCACACTAACGCAGGGAGAATATGTGTGCGATAGCGGGATGTGCTCATTAATATGTGTCATGCCAACTGTTCAAAAGCCAGAGAAGTTTGGTAAACCTCTTTGGGGGTGGGTTCACCATTCCATCCATCTTCCAACCACTTCTCCTGGTCAGGGTCATGGGGGGACTGGAGCTTATCCCAAGATACATAGAGCTCAAGGTTGCGGTAAACCCCAGACCCGATGCCAGTCCATCACTGGGCACATGCAGACACACTATGGGCAAATTAAATACACCGCTTAGCCTAAATGCATTTCTTTGGGAAAACAGAACCTGAAGACGCACGGAGCAAAAGTAGGACGCAAACCCTTAATCCTGGAGGCGTGAGGCAACATCACCACCTACCCCTCCGGAGTCACCAAGGCACCAAGGCACCACTGATACAATCAATCAAAACAATAACAGCACAAGCGTTATCCGGCCAGATTAGTGGATATCTTTCTAGGGAACATCTTACAGTCTCAAACTGAGACCGAAAACTAAACCTTAACATGTTTATTTAAAAGAGTGTGTCTCCACTGGTTTATTCTCAGGAACCACATTTTTGGTAGGTTAAGTCACAACCCAACTATCAAAATAGTGCATTAATAGTAAGTAGAATATCAGACATCCCACCTTAGGCATGCTGATTTCAGGGAGGTGGGTGAGGGAGGAACTCCCCCCACAAAATCAATGAATGGGGCGGGGAGGGGGGCAATTTGCTAGTGGACATTTGCCATTGCGGGGGCCAGGAGTGCTGGCGGGGTAGGAAGACGGGGGAGTGTTCTGCTGTAAAATGAAAATGGTCTTGCCACCCAACAGTTGAGAAATGGTGCTTCATATTGATAAAAGCTATGATGAGAGTGGCAGGGCATTCTCACGGTGGAAACGTACCTTATCTAGCTTCGCTTCAATTTCCACCACCTCCGTCTCGACCTCGTCGATATTTGCCCTGTAACGACACAAAGATTTATACAGATTAGTAAGGCATACAAACACACTGACAAAATGTATGTTTTATGGAATAAAAAGAGATGCACAAGAGCAAACAATATAATCCCTATCAGGGGAGTTTCTAGCTACTGAAAAGATCAGGGGCTAAGCCAAGTTTACCTGGGACTTGACTTTTTTTGTTTTGGAAGTAAGATTGGCATTGGGGCTAAAATTGCCCCAAGTGATCGACCCTAAGGACGCCCATGATCCATATTATTGACTGCATCCGTAAATGTATATGAGAATAATAAAGGACAAGCAGGGTGCATCACACAATTTCTTAAAAATAAGAAGCCTTAGGAAGCCTCAAGACGTGAATGGGACTCTGAGTGTCTAAAACAGGGGTAGAAAACCCTGCCGGTATGGAGCAGCCTGAGATCAGATGTGGTTCATCAGAGACCAGGTAGGATAGCAAACCTGCTGGATACCGGCACTGTGGGATCAGCGTTGCCCATCCCTGGTCTAAAATTCCCATTAATGTGATTTTAAATACTAACATTTAGGTTGTAATTTAAAGTCAGTGGATATAATTTCCCGTGTCCTTGGAGAGAGGGGATGACAGCGAAATCCTGGGGGTGAACCGTGGGGCTTGGACGCAGAAGCAGACACTCGGCAGCTGAGTCAGGCAACTAATCATTTTTGTGGAAAAGATCAGCAGTGGGGCCACATTCCGCGCAGATGCTCGGGCCCCCCCTCCGGAAGGCGTGGGCGGGACGGCTCCGTCTAGACAAATCGAGAGCTCTGCTGCCCGGCCCCGCTCGCCGCTCCCGATGTTCGGACAGCGGCCGGCACCCTGACCCCCAGTTCCCCATGGGATCCCGGCACATATTCGCACAAACCGCTGTGAGCTTTGGCAGAGGCAAACAGCTCTGGAATCTCAGCTGTGGGACATCTACAGTACCTTACAGCCTATGCATGTGATATTAAACAGCTCGTCCGGGGTTTAATAGGATGGGGATCTTTTCCAGTGGCTCGTGCCCCTTCCGTGTCAGCAGACTTCTATTCAACATGTGGTTTCGATAGATAATCACTCATCAGGACACATTCCATGCAAATACTTCCGTAGTGAATTTCCACAATCTTTCCCCACCAATCTGGCAATTAAGTATCTCTTTGTCTGTCTTAACGTTCATACCTTAAAAGTTGTTTATATTATGTTTATATATCTCAGTATTTATATTCTATTGTTTATTTCTCATTCTCACTATGGCCAATGAGAACAATACTTCACATATTTCACATTTTGCATGACTCCATACACACCTGATAATAAAAGATACTTTGGCTTTGGACATTTCAAAGACTGCAAATACACTGAGTAGAGAACAGAGTGGGCGTTTTTCATGTGGACGGGACATAAAGGACATCCTTAGCCATACTGTGGCAGCCAGCATATGATTCCTTGTTATTTGTGCATACAGAGGTAGACAGCTGGTCTTACACTCCTGCCCCAGTAAGTCGGGCTGTCTTCCTGCAGCTGGAGGCGTGTGGTGGGAGGGGTGCGGGGGGGGGGGGGGGGCGTTTTCTCCACCCTTGTCTCCTGCACACGCACGTCAGTACCATCATGACCGAGTGAAGCGTGAAATGTGTTCCGGTGCACCCGTGAAAGGACCTAAAAGACTAGATTAGCTGAAAAAATGCAAATTTAAGAACAATAACTGAGTCTGATGACAGCACATGCGGTGCAGACCTGTGTGCTCCATGTTTGCTCATCCTAGCCACAGCCCACGGTTATTCTGAGTCCGAACGGATTACAGGAAGTCGGTCCTGTCGCAATCACCTCAGAAAAATGAACGGTAAGCCCACAGATCCCCCTCTGTTTAAAAGGCAAATCCAAACACATGATTCACAAAGCTGCCATCTTACAGCCTTCGATTTCTCCATTCTGCCCACAGCGATGTGCTTGTCCTGTTTCCTCCAGGAGAGACTTAAATGTCACCTTATTATATTTAGCCACACGCCTGCAAGATACTGAAGTCACACATGCTTCGCATCCCATGGCTATACCCCCCCCCCCCCCCCGCCTTCCCCTCGTTCACTCACCACCCATTGCTTTTCAATAAGGCACACGTCCGCCTGCGGGTACATTACCATGACAACCTCCCACTTCAAGCTCCAGCGACCAGAGTGGGAAATCGACACCCCCTTGCTATGAACATTGGTACAAGCCACCTAACGCATCCTGATCAGCCTTGACTACAAGCAGCCCATAATTTATTTTCTAATTTTACCTGAAATGTAAATAAGGTGGGTAAAATATCAAGTACATAATAATGAGTCGGGCCACCTTTGCTTTCAATCCTTATCATTCCAGCAGACAATTTCTGAACTGACTGCAGAGAAGTGATGGACCATCCATTGGAGAGAAAAGCCTTCATTTCCCTGAGAGATAAGGGGGTACAAATCTACACCACATGCTGTACTCCAGAAATTCCCATAAAGTTTAAATGATGTGTAGATCTGGTAGTTGAGGAGGCTGTGGAAGGTGTTAGACTTCATCCTGGGGTTTAGAAAACCGCTCTTGAATTTCACGTAGATGTTGGGAACAGTGTACAGTATGTACCATTGGGTGCACCTAGTTCTGTGAAATGGCCTTGCCTGTTACATGACCATGCAATCACCAGACTCCCATGAGATGACTACTTACACCATTATGGATCCCCATTAGATGTTTTTGTCAATTTCCTTAAGTGGTTGCCGTAATTGTCAGCTTTGTGAAGCTCTCAGTTTCTATTGAGATTGGATCACAGTTGCTGATCATGGTCATTTTTAAAGCTGTTTTGTTTTCCCGTGGTTAAATATTTCTCCCTTTTGGCTTGAGCTTGCAGCCACCGTTACCCTTTCAAGGCACTTGGTTCATTTTCGGCATATGTAAATCAACACATGAAGAAATTGTGCTGTCTTGTGTCTGGTGCACCTGCAATTCTTATTGGCCTCTTCAACTCGTGAAAACTGACAGTGCTCATGGTCGGACCTGTGCGACCGCCAGCACATGCTGAAAGCTAAGATTCAACTGACTCACCTCTGTAGATAGATTTGCAATTGTGATTTAGTTAAAGCCCCTTTTCATTCAGTGTTGCTGTCATTTTCCTCGTGCCTGTGTGTGTGTATACATATATATATATATATGTGTGTGTATATATATATATATATATATATATGATAGATAGATAGATAGATAAACATATATAACTGTACATTCATGAATGCCTATCTATCCTCTACAATGACTAGAATTCACTCCACCTGTCCAACTTTTCATCTTACACAAATGAAAGACGTTCATTACCAGATTCATCATCGACCTCTGAAGCATGCAGCTGAGCAAAAAAATAAAAAAAATCACGTGGTGGGGAACGACTGGAGTGTGTGGGCTGCTTGGCCCGGCTAACTGCTGACACAGTGTCTCCAGGGGAAGGGAGAGGTGGGGGTTACTGTGCCAGCTCCTCAGGATCTGGAACTCTCCGGGTCTTTTTAATGGGAAACACAAGGTTTAGCGTGCAGCCCGCCCGACAATGAGCGTGGTGTTTACTGCCGCCTACCCCAGCACACCAAGTGCTCCACATACAAAACAGCGACTGGATACTTCTTAAGTTATAGAAGGTACAACCCATTCTCCTTCGTTCCAGTTGACTGTGTCAGTGGAGGATTCCAGTCTACTGATAAACACTGTCTGCTGATTAGAAGAACATATCACTGACACGTGATGCATCTTCCTTGTTTTGTCATCAAAGCTTGAGGTGAAGATTGCTACCTTTTATGTTCGTGTTAATGGAAGGGCTGAGAGGCTGTGAGATCAAACACTTGAGTTCCTGGCTAAGGACAGGGAATAATTACACGCTACCCTTGTGAAATGCATAGTCGCCCAGGAGATGCTGGTACCACACCCTGGGTGAATGGCAGACAGCTGAGCTCAAAGGCAGATATGCGTTTACTTAAACCCCATCCCGCTCCGTTCCCCTTGCAGGGCTGGGTGGTGCACATGGACAAAGAGCAGGTGTGGCTAAGCCTGGTTCCGTATTGACCTCTAAACAACGGGAACAGCACAAGCAGCTGAGGCTCGTGTCAACTGTCAACACGGAGCGACCGCATGACATGGGGTTCAGCCGGCGAAACATCCGGCTGAGCATTTCACTGAGGTTTCTCAAAACACAAGTGGCAGGCAATAAGGGCGCAAAAGAATTACCGAAATGCTTCGTGGCTTTGCTATCTCAAACATATCCCAAGCAAAATAACCCAAGGATCTGTGACTGCTACTGGGTATGTCACTGTTTAATGACAGCCCTTATCAGGCTTCCAATCAGGCACTGTTATACGGGAGATAGTTTGAGATTGATGAGACCGAGGGCTGCACAGAAATGTTCAAATAGCTGCAGGGGGGGACTATATTTTACCGTGGGAAAAACGTGGTTCCTCGTGACACAACGCAGAACCACAGCACACAGAGACTGAGGAATGAATCAAAGAGATTTTACTGGCACTCTCAGAACCATAACAAATCAGTGAGCAGTGGGGGGGGGGGGTAGAAAATACATTTACTTGTGAAATAATTGCCAGCATTGGAAGGTGTACAGAAAATAACAATTTTCCGAATAGTTATGAAACTTCTGCAATACGTTTATAAAACTTAACTACTGCTCAGTGGCGTTACGCACAATGTAAACAGGTTATAAGTAAATAACGGTCTGTTGAGTATATAGGCTACATGCACCATTGCTTCCCATCTCTCCCCTAATAAACAAGCAAACATGGTTTATATTCTTTATAGAATCGGTTCATCTTCAGTATTGGGGCTGCTAACCCAAACCTTTCCCTTCCCTGAAGCATCCAGCTCCTGCGTTCCATACACTCAATAAACATAATAGCTATAAGCAACCATCTGCTGCTACTAAGCCTGAATCAGTTGTATATTCTGTTGCATGTCTGTTACTTATCCTTCATATTTACTGGACGTCAAGG